AGTCCGTTTTTAGTGGCTAACGAGATTTATGCAGTACGTTTTCGTACTCAAGTCTTTATTCATTGATGGTGTGAGCCGATATGAGATCTAATACAATTTTCGCCAAAAAGGTAATAGTTTCATTGTAATGAGAAATTAGTCTGCCAAATGCTCTGATCCTGGACAGTGGACACTACATAAGAATCACTACAGGAGTGGGGATGCCGGGCTCGTAGTAGGAAGAACTGGTTTTTAGTCAGCAAGAGTCTGACACTCCCTTCCGCCTCACCCAATTCGCGAGGAGTTATTAGACGATTTCCCCCCCTTATAAAAGGCTCTGCATAGATGAGGGACACCTTAGTCTTGACGGCTTTGATCTTTTTGATATCTTTAATTGGTTTTAGTCTTCTGTGCATAGGAGTAAATCAAATGCGCACGCCTTTAGTGGTTTCAAATTGTAATTGAGTATTTCTAGTATAACATTCTCAGTATGCACGAGTCTATTATTGGCAATAGGATCGCCTTGTATTTTATGGGAAACAAAAGGTGTGATACCCGCAGTCAGTTCTACTAATTTTGGCACTCACAAAATATGATGATACGTATCAACGTATCTATCTGACTCTGTTAGATTAGATTATCGCACTTTCCATAACAGAACCGTGAACATAAAAAGATTATATTAATTGTTATTACTAAGATAACAGAGTGACACTAAAAATCAATACTTGGTGGGGAAAGGTGCAATGTTTTATGTTTTATCAATATACCTACACACATAAATATTATATATATAAGGCTAAGGCTGTTTTCAACTTTATGGTCTTTCCGATCATGAAAGAAGAAACAGATAGGGACGCGACCCTGGCCGCCTGAGCTACTGCAGGAACTTTCCTCGTATCCTTTCCGTTTCTGCAGTATCCCCGTTAACCTTTGAGCTGTGGAAGTTCTTGATCACTACTGTCTATGTACGGGGGTGATCGTAGCTTCCACAGCTTTCCTATCCCACATACCCACAATCCCCTACCAATCATCCTTACTTCCTTTTCCCATCCATAGGGATATGCGACAGGGCATTATGAACAGGGGATTAAAGAGTACACTACCCCAGGAGGGTACCAGCTCCGCTGGAGAATCCCTCCCTGTGCATGATTGCTCAGGCAGCCCCGTCGTATCTGGGGGGGCGAAATTCCCGACGGCGACGTGCTCTGCCACACGTCACGTTTTGTCTCCCCGTGCGTAGGCAGAAAGCGGGCTGAGGACTGCCTTTTTGCTACACTGAATGTGTGTGGAGGCGTAGAAGGCAAGATGTTAGAAATATGTGAGATGATGAATACAAGAAAGATTGATTTGTTAGGGGTGAGCGAGACGAAAAGAAAGGGTTGTATGACTACCACACATGGCCAATATATTGCTTACTGGTCTGGTGTTGCAAGTTCCCAGAGAGGCAGCCAGGGCGTGGGGGTCATACTATCTGAAAGGATGAATGAATGTGTGAAAGAGTATGAATGCGTGAGTCCCAGGATACTTTGGATCCGCCTTAAAATTGGCTTGACCAAATTATTTGTCATCTGTGCTTATGCCCCGGACATCTCAAAGCCAATTGGGGTGAGGGAAGTATTCTGGGATAACTTGAGAGATGTTCTTAATGAATGTAAAGAGAATGAAAGAATAATTATGCTTGGAGATTTTAATGGATGGGTTGGAGTGGCACGCGATGGGTACGATAGAGTATTAGGGCGATTTGGAGACGAACGAGTGAACGAGAATGGTGTATGTCTTCTGGATATATGTGTAGAAAAGGAACTTTTTGTGACCAACACAACATTTGGTCACAAGAAGATACATATGTATACATGGCAGAGGCATACAGAAAGAAGTACGATTGATTTTGTGATTGTTGATGAACGCCTGAGGACAAAACTGAAGGATACAAGGGTTTACCGTGGCACGAATGTCGGAAGCGACCACTTCCTAGTAATTACTAGAATAGCTGGACTGGCAATGAAGTGGAGACATCGGCCACGGGTAAGGTTGCTTGGAACCGAGAGAGTGAGAGTTGAACGGTTGAGAGAAGAGGCAGCTAGGGACCAGTACAGGAAACTATTAAATGAAAGGTTTAGGGAGCTAATGAAAGGTTACGAAAGGAATATAGAAGAATTTTGGAAGGAATTTAAGGATGGAGTGATCGCAGTAGCTACTCAAGTATGTGGGGTAAGCAAGAAAAATAACACTGGAAGCAAGAGGAATGAATGGTGGGATGATGAAGTAAAAGAGGTGATAGAGCAAAAGAAGAAAGCATGGCTCGACTTATTAGCCTCAAAGGCAAATAGAAGAGTGCTAGAAAGTATGATAGAAAAGTACATTAGTCTCAAAAAGAGAGCAAAAGCGGTAGTTAACAAGAAGAAAAATGAATGCAAGGAAAAGTTTGAAAGGAATTTTTCGCGGAACTTTCGAGCCAACGCTAAACTATTCTGGCATTTAGTTAGAAAGGCCAGAGGCAAAGTGGGGGACTCGAAAGTAAGTACGATAAGGGATATAAATGAGTGTCATTGAAGAAAGTAAGGATGTTTTAAAGCAGTGGAAGGAATACTTCGAGAATTTATTTGAAAGGAGTGATTTGAAAGAAGAGGAAGTAAACGATGAAAATGAAAGTGCTAATGTGGGAGAAATAAATATGGATGAAATTGTGAGTGCCATTAAGAGTTTGAAAGTAGGTAAAGCAGCGGGATGTGATAGGATAACTACTGAAATGCTAACAGAGGGTGGAGGTGTAATTGCAAGCCTGCTGTATCTACTTTTTAATAAGTGTTGGCGATGCGGTCGTGTCCCTGGAGACTGGGCCAAGGCCGTAATTGTGCCACTGTATAAAGGAAAAGGATCACAGCAGGAGTGCAAAAATTATCGCGGTATAAGCCTCCTAAGCGTAGTAGGAAAGTTGTATGCCAAGGTATTGATCGAAAGAGTGATGGATGTAACTGAGCGTAAAATCTGGGATGTGCAAGCGGGATTTCGAAAGGGAATGGGGTGTACGGATCAAGTCTTTTCGTTACGGTGCATTTCAGAGAAAGTGTTATCAAAGCACCAAAAGGTATTTTGTGCCTTTATAGACCTAGAAAAGGCTTATGACAGAGTGGTGAGGGATGAATTGTGGTCAACTCTGTCCATGTATGGGGTGGATGGCCACCTGATTCGGGCACTTAAATCCTTATATAAGGACTCGAGTGCCTGTGTCAGAATAAATGGGGACTACACAGAGTGGTTTAACATTAATCGAGGTGTTAGGCAAGGCTGTGTAGCATCTCCTTGGCTGTTCAACCTATTTATGGACAGCTGTTTGAACGACCTGAAAGTAGGAGAGTCTGGATTAAGGATGAATGACACAGTGATTAAAACATTGTTGTATGCCGACGACCAGGTGCTTGTTGCCTCGTCGGCCCAAGAATTACAACAAATGATCACTGCTATGAATGATGCATTTGAAAGGAAAGGTATGAAAGTAAATGTGAACAAGACGAAAGTGTTGGTGATAGAAAGAAATGAGGTGATAACAGAATGTCAGGTAATGATAGGTGATGAAAAATTGGAACAAGTGAATGAATTTGTGTATCTGGGATCACTATTTACGAGAGATGGAAAGTGTGACGGGGATATTGAAAGGAGAGTGAAAGCGGGAAATAGTGTTAATGGTGCTTTACACTCTGTCATGTCGAGTAAAATAATATCCAGCAAAGCTCGACTTGCTGTAATGCAGTGTGTATTGACACCAACGCTTATGTATGGTAGTGAATCATGGGTGTGGCAGAAGAAGCATGAAAGCAGGATTAATGCGGTGGAAATGAGAGCCCTAAGAAGTATGTGTGGACTAAAATTGAGTGATCGAGTGAAAAATAGTGTTATTAGAGAAAGGTGTGGATTGAAAGATGATGTAGTGACAAGGATTGAAAAGGGAATGTTACGCTGGTTTGGACATGTAGAAAGGATGGATGAAAGTAGAGTAACGAAAGAAGTATACAGAGCGGATATGAATGGGGCCGTCGGTAGAGGGCGCCCTAGACGGACATATAGTGACCAGATTGGCGATATATTAAAGAAGGGCCAAATTAAAAGTACCCTTAACCGACGAGCATGCATGAAAAGATTGATGACTGTTAATGAAGCGAAAGAGGTATGTAAGAATCGTAGTAATTGGCGTTCCTTAGTCTCTGCCTACCCCCATGATAGACAGGCGTGAAGTTATGTATGTATGTACATAAATATTATTTGTTTTGTGACTGGTAACTAGTTCTACTAGTTGATATCGTTAGCAAACACAACGGTGTCAGTTGTCATACAATTGTGTAATAATTGTTTTCATAATTGAAGTTGTGAAGTGCATTTCTTACTGCGTTTTCTGAACTCGTATCATTTAAACTGTCAAACACCAAGCGGTCACCGGTGACCGCAACCTATTGTTCTATAATTGTGTCTACGAGTTAATATGTGGGCTGAACTCACTCCTTTCGGGAGTAAAAGACATGTAACATTTCACATATTTATCAAAAATTACTTTTGTCAAACCTCTCTCGTGGTTGAACAACTGACAAGATACAATGCCTATTATTGGAGTGAAATGGAGTAGAGTTGATAACTGACGAAAATTGGGTGATCTTTTTCTCACTCCCTCTCATTCCTCGCCTCACTCGGGCGAGAGAAGTCATCAATGATTTTACCCCTTAAACTGTCAAACACCAAGCGGTCACCGGTGACCGCAACCTATTGTTCTATAATTGTGTCTACAAAACCGGTACTCGACGAGTTAAAACAATAGTTGGGCTGCAATAATAATTATGAATGTACTTTTTCTATCTATACCTTTGAGGATTTAAATAAGTATCATCCATAACAAATCCGGTGCAATGATTCATGACTCAAAATAACCACCACAGCAGACAGAAAATGCTCTATTTAACGTATAGGTGCGTGCTTAAATAAATTATTTTGATTGATTGATTAACTAAAGCTTCTTTATATTGTTTCAGGGCCATCTTGTTGGAACATGTGGTCTACCGCATGGGATTGTTGGCTGTTATCCGCTCCAGGGTGAAGAATGGTAAGGTTCCAGTCCATTTTTTGTCGCATATACCTCTAAGTAGATAGTAATTGATTTAGGGCGTACTTAGACTGAACTGTTTAAGCAAAACTCTTAAAAGAGACAGACCTCTGAGTTGGTTTCGGCATTTCTTCTCAGAGTAGTCAGTTAGGAAATGTCGGCCTCATCGTTCGCTTGATAAACTTGACGTGTAAAAGTCCTACCTTGTAGCCTATTTGCAGAAATAAATTCACTCGTTTCACCTATTATAGGTGATAGCTTGCTACATGCTATATGAATACCAGTGCCTGAAGAGGAAAAGGACGTCTGAAGAGAAAATGGGTTAGAGAATGGATTACGAAAATAATAATAAAAGAAATTACAGTTTGTGGTAGGATAAAGTTTCACATCGGAATGGAATAAGACATATTCTGCTGCACTTTAGTACTCGTAACTCGTTACCGTAGTTACCGAGGTCGGTAAATCTTAACTTATCAATCCCAACTGGTCACCAGTGACCACTCTCCCCAACTCCATTATAGACCTTATTTCCCATGTTTAAAGTCTACTTTTGTCCTAGTACGTAACAGATATTCACATAAATAATTAAAAACACTAACTGCCGTCTACCCTCAACACGTTAACTGTGATTTCTGACTACCCGCAAAGACAGTCATGGATTTTCGTGTGACAACCGGGATTGATGGCACCGCGCCACGGAATGTACGCTTTAGGAATATTAACATAATGCTCCGTTTAATATAAACACAAAACAAAGAACCTTACTAAGAGAAAAGAACCGTGGACTGAAAATATTTAGTTCAACTTTTGACCTAGTTTTGTTAATCTATTGTGTCTTCCTTCCATTCATTCATTACGTCAACACATTTAGCTTATTGATATAAAAGTGTGTCCGAGTTGAAAGTTCATATGGTCTTAGTACACAAAGCTTACTAATGCCCCGGTTGACCTTGGGTCAGAAAACTTGTGCTACTACATAGTACATAACTAGAAACAGTTATACGCAGCTAAGTAGTCGTATGGACTTACGGACAAATGACTTCATGCCCATAATGATTAGGAGACCGTCGAAGGACAAAGATGTTGATACGGTATTTGAAAGATGTTTTTTTTAATATTTGATGGGTCGACGTTTACGACGCCTGTTGAAATATCATCCCCTAAATTTGGTCATACAAAAGTAGTCTCTAAACATCGGAAATAAGGTCAATAATGTAGTGAGTGGAGAACTGTCACCGGTGACCGCATGGGGATAAATGGGAACGTCGACAGACAAAGATGTGGACGTTTACAATGACAACGACGACCTTGACGGGCGACTATCTCGCCTGGTGGTAAGCGATGATATAAAGTTAAAGAATGGAGTGGATGTATAAACATTTTCATTGTTTAAAATACATAGTCCTTTATATTTATAAGAAAATAAGTCTATGATTATGACCGTTTTGGATTCGTTCCAACCTCAAATAAGTTTGTCTGCATAATAGACTAGCCAGTGTATTCAGGACTTAAAAGTGTTAGTTTAGTAGCTGTCTGCAGGTATACTGTGTAGGCTTACGGTTGCGTGTTTATTACTAATTCTTTGAATCGATTCGCTAGATTCCGAGTAAAACTGAACAACTACTGATAGTAGGTTTTTCTATTAAAAAGTGTAATGGACTTAAGGTAATCTAATTCGCTACTTTAAATCATATTTGGCTATACTACAAAGGTACGTAAGTATAAGTAGCGATGTCCACGAAAATATTATGTAGTAACTACATAATAGAGTTGGTAATTCCGTGTCAAATCCGACATCTATTCAAATCTCAAGGCTCAATGCCCTAACCCACCTAGAAAAAGGTCAGAAGAAAGACAATGATGTAATCTCTAAAACATTTCAAAGATCCAATACACTGTCACAAACAATATACCATGTTAATCTATACACTAATTAAGAACTCAGATCTCGTAACTAGGCATTAACATAGCAGGTAGACTCGACTTAGCTAGCTAATCAAGCGCTGCTCCACATTATGTTCAGACGAGGCCTTAGTTACTGTCGCGCGGCATTGTTATAGAGAACTAGTACAATAAGATGCTATTGTGTACCTACCTTATACTAGAGAAAGGTCAAAAGATGATCTCTTTGTTTTAAAAGATACATGAGAATATTGGTAATCTTAATTGGTTCTTTAGTACTAATACAAGCCTGTGACGACCCATTTTATTCTCGCTCATGTCATAACAACCGAATAAGGGACTACATCTTTCAAGTGTACGGTCAAGGGACACAAAAAACTTGGGCAGCAGTACTTTCTGATACATCTGAACCTTCAATAGGCTCCGATCCTGCATGGAGACGAGGTAATACTCTTATGTAGACGAAGCCCAAAGGCCCATACGATAGTCCAGCATTTGCCTGTCACAGGCTCGGGCTCAATCAACAGCTGCAAATGACGAAGTGTGTGTATAAAATGTACACTTCATCATACTTTTCACGGTCTGTTCCTTGCGAACCTTAAACTTTACAGACACAAAGCAATCTTCAAGGTTAAACAACCTTCACAGTTATGTGGATGTAAACATACTTGACTCCTCAAGAACCCTACTAGTTTGGTAGTAAAGTGACTTACCTTACCAGACACTTGACTTTCCAACAACCTTAGTTGAATACCATAAACAAGTAGGCGAGGCGAGACCTACTTATTCTAGTCCTATTGTTAAAAAAATACCAGTTTCTATAAAAATATTAGCGGTACACTCCAGCTTCGCATGGTTGCCATTATTCAACTTTCCCCAATTTTCCCAGCTACTTCTTTGCATAAATATTTTCTTGTCAATAAAGAATCACTTTCGGAGTTGGGTGTACCAAAACATTTATTTTGTCCTAGGTAAACGGATAAAGTATGACTTATACCTCTAGATAAGTAATAATGAATTAAGACTAAGTACCGATCCCAAACTACTTAAGAAAATCACCAAGACAACCGAAATTAATCCGGAAACCCGACAATATCTTACTCGACACTAGATAAGCTAATAAGGTATCTTATTAGTTTATTTATAGACACAAAATATATGCTAAGTATTCAAATCACTTAAATAACTTTCGCTTCTCAGACCTTTGACATTTTTCCAAGGTTGTCGCGTTAAACAGGTATAGTCTAAATCATTCCGATCGTGGATTGAATTTTACTCTCGATTGTGTCTGTAGGGCAACGAGTTGTACAGTTTAACAACCCTAGCTGTCTCGTCTGGTCTATTTATATAAATAAATCAATTTGCCACGTGTATGACGGAATGCTTCTCGAGGTAGCCGCGACCGATTTGACTGATATTTTTATTTGGGAATTTTTCTGGAAAATTACGGGGATTTAGAAGGTTGTTATACAAATACCTATTAATTATTTCACTTATAATATTAGTCTGTTTCTTTAGGGGGTTGTGGATGGTAGATATGACAGTAGCTTCAAAAAAATAACGACGTTCAGCTTAATATGGTTAATTTCTGTTGTCGTGAAAGCATCAAGGTTTTTTTTACGCTAACATGAAAAACAGCTTACAATCCGTCCGGGAAGCAGTTACTTACAGGTTAGGAGAACAATGAAGCTTACATTCGTGTTTATCACATTTGTCACATTTATCTTGGAATAAACTATTATATGAATAACAATTCCTAGAACCACTAGTAGCTTCTGAAATTACACAAAGAACCCTCAATACAAGAGAGGCTAGCACTTGACGGGTTTTTCCTCACAAAAGCTGAGTCACGCAATATAGGCCTCCCCCATTTCTTATTCCGTGTCCTTCACGCTCTATTTACGATATATTGAGTCTGGGTAGATGTAGGCGTGGATATTGAAACCGCTAATACTGAAAAAGATAGGTTATTTTGGCTTGAAGTAGGTCGTTCAATGTCAGACGGGTAGGTCTTAGGATAGGTAGGTACGGACTTTTTTACGACTGTTGAGCTCAAACTTCTCAAGGCGTATGATAGTATTCTATTTTAGGTTTTCCGAAGGTAGTTTATGTATATAAACGGAGTTCTCTTTTAAAATCGGACTAATCCATAACCAATTATGTCCAAAATTAACTATAAGACTTCGGAGTCCTAAGGCACCCCGGCCTTCAGAATAATACAGGCATAATTTAAAATTACGAGTTTACCATCAAGGAATTTCTAAGAATATTCAGGATATTTTTTCTACTAGTTTAATCCTGTCACAATACGTAATATTTCACTCCTACTACCATCACGTTATTACCCACTGATGCGTAATACCGCAAACTGCCAACGATCACTGAACTGGAGCAGATTTTACAATACCACAGAAATTAGGCTAACTACTGCCGAACAGGATTCAGGAATAGATATGTCACTGTTGCAAGAATCTGCACAGATCATATCAGCTAACTCCATTGCAAAACACACCTTATACTTACCACGTTGCAGTGCCATTTTGCGTGTAAAATTGAACAGATGGTTACATATTTACGTGTCACTTTATCGTCCTAATAATAAGGTTGATAATCGTTTACCGCGATACTCACAGAGATTTGTATATTCCAGGTCGCACAATAGGAATGATGATAACCGCATCGCACAATTTGGAGCCAGACAACGGTGTGAAGTTGGTTGACCCTGACGGTGAGATGCTGGAGGAAGAATGGGAGTCTCTTGCGACGAAATTGGCTAATGTCAGGTGAGATACTACTATACCTCCCTTCAAGACTTCAAAAGGCCGGATACGCACTTGATCAGACGGATCACCTGATGGTAAGCAGTCAGCGCCGCCCATGGACATCCGCAACACCAGAGGAGTCACCAGAGGAGTCACAGCTTTTAAAAAGGAATACGCTATTTCTTAAAGGTTCGAAGGCCGTATTGGTTCGGAAATACCGCTGACGACAGATCATTCCACAGTTTTGGTGTGCGAAGCAGAAAGCTACGCGAGAAGCGCACAGTTGTGGCCTGCCAACCATCTATATGATGGGGATGGATATGCTGTCGTCATCTATATTTGTAACGCTTCTGGTGTTGCGGGCTTGCGGGTATCCATGGACGACGTTGATCGCTTTCAATTAGTTCAAATTGTGCTTCCTATCCTATAAAAATATGAATTTTGCATTTAACGTCGCCGTCGTGTTGTTACTAAGGACCTGGGCATGTCCTAAAACTTACCAGCCTCCGTAAGGTAGATTCATCTCTCATTCTCTAAAGACGACTTGGAGATCGCTACAAAGTTATCGAAAATTTGTAGCGTGAGGATAAGGTGGCAAATCGCCTGTCAAAGGGAGGGCCTTTGTTCAAAGATTGACTCATTTCATCTGATGGCTCCAGGAGTTGTATAAACATAACATAACATTACATCACGATGGATTTCTGCAATGACAATAAGATGCAATAGTCACTATCATCAGCCGGATGCCGTTCATTGCTTGACAATAGCATCCTTAAAATGATTTGCCCTAATCTCCAAGCTTTGCAAGAAGATGGAGGATCACAGTTACATCAATAATAATTTAAAGGTCTAGCAGTTCTTACCTTCAACGTCCCTTCTTCATTCCAATATTGACTGCACGGTTTGCGCGGTGGCTGCCGCGCAACGTGTCGCGGGTTCGATTCCCGCACGGAACATTTATTTCTTTCGTCCACAGATTATTGTTCTGGGCCTGGGTGTCTTATGTATGTGAAATTCTATGTTTGTAAACACACCCACGGTGCAGCAGAAAATCCTAGGGGGGGGTAACGTGTTTTTAACAAAAACAAATTATGTCACTTTAAAGATATTACTAAGATACCTAGAAGTACGTCATGGTTTTGATGTCGCCTCGTTTAACAATACGATTCATGTGAAAAGACTACTTCAGAATGAACTGGGTAGGCATATGTACGTACCTAGTTCATTCTAGTTTTCGCTCACAGATTCGTGCGTGCGATAATAATATTGATATTGATTTTCACTCGTTTCGTCTACGTTTTGAAATGAGCGTCTAGCTTCATAAACTGGCTAACTATTTAGTTTTTATTGTACTTTGATTACAAATAAATGTTTTAACACTCACAGACGTTCGTGTACTAATTGACGTCGCTTGACTAAAGGATTCTCGATGTTAACGATTAAAGAGCGCGATTTATAGTCACGACATATTCTTTCTAATGATTCGTAAGAAATCTATGTATACGAATAATATAAAGGGAGCACATGTCACAGCACAGCAGCTTCCTCTACATAAGAGTGCTTTTCTATAAACCACTTATTTGGAGATGATTTGATATACGTGTTTGATGAGTGCTAAGTCTTTAAGTCATACATTCCCCAATAAACATGCTACCAATTCCATCCAGCATCCTGTAGTTTCGGTTGTACACTGTCTACTACGCACTTGCAATCATTCGGCCAACGAGGCATCAGTCACTCAGTAACATAAAAATAATTAATGTCATCCCAATACCAACCATATTCCTAAAACAATACTTAGTGTATTGTTTTATTTCCATTGGTTGTTATTTCCATTCATATAAAGATCACATTATTGTAGGCAATTCAAGCCCACATTGACTCCCACAGTACCTTGTTTCTCTGTTTCCTTATCTCAAATGAATTAGTTAATTACCTGAATACTGCATTCAATTGGAAAGGAACTTTGCTGACGTCACACTCTGTACTGTTTGGTGTAATTTATTGACAAGTTAATCTGAAGCAGCTGTAGCCAAATGCCATTTAGCGGTTGTCTACATGTAGAACAGAAAACCAAATTATATAGAACTGACGTAAATTTTGACACTTGTCAGTGTCATCGCCATACATTTTGATTTGTATTCTCTCTGTAGACAAGTGCTAAAGTGGCGTTTGCTTAAAGGCCCTGATAACTAAGGATGCAAGACATGCTGCATTGCACCTTGATTAGATTTCTATGAAGTACTGAAACTTAAGGTCAATTTTGATGAAGTATATTTTAAATATCGAAGTGAAAAGGAATTATCTTATGAATATGTCAATTTTTTTATCACATGTACTTTGCTTGTTGCTATTTGTCTCCAAGCAACATATTTTTTTACAAAATATTATTATTTTCATTTCCAGTGACAATGATCTGGAAGCGACGACGATGGAGATCATACAGGAGGTCAAGGCTGATATGACCCTGAAGGCCAGTGTATTCATTGGGATGGACACCAGGTTAGTAACACTAAACATAATAGTTGTTTAGTTATAAAGAATGTTTACTTCTTATATTATACTAGCGACCCGCCCCGGCTTTGCACGGGTGCAATATTCGTGTATTATACATATAAACCTTCCTTAACAATCACACATAACATATAACATCACGCATTTTATCCTCGAAGTGGTAGGCAGAGGTGCTCACTACGGCACTTAATGCCACGGTACAATGTAACACCCACTTTTCACTATTTATGTTTGGAGTCCTATGTAATAAGGGTGAGCTTATTGCCGTATACCGGGCACGATTCTAGACTCCGTGCTAGTACTACTGAGATTTTTTTTAAAAACCCTGTAATACTTTGGCCGGTTTGGCCGATAAAAAATAAAATGAAAGTAGTTTTAAAGGTCTAAGCATACATAGGAACAGACAGACGGCGGATAGCGACTTTGTTTTATACTATGTATGTAGTGTATACCTAATATAGAAAGGCATCATGTGTACTAGACAAGACTAAAAATAGCACCCTTAATATCTTTCTAAGTATTAGTGTTTGCATTGAGTACTTTCCTTAACCAAAAATAAATTATGTCGACTGTTCCATACAATAAAATATTAAAAAATAAATCTGCGTGTTCATATCACGTCGGGGACACCAATTTTGGAGTAGTGCGCCTAGTAATTTAGAGGCAGACTTTTAAATAAAACTCGTATTAAAATCAATGGCAAAACTTATAATCGACTTGTCCATCAAAAGTGTAACGGCGTCATGTGTCACAGAGTTAATCATAAAACCATAGACAGTCAATGGCGACCATAGACAATATCAATATTCTCGTTACAATACTAAAAGTTGGTCCCATACATTACTATCATAGATTTATAAATATAACATAGATGTCTGGCTATTGTCTACGGGTAGAATTTAGGATTCATCTTGACGGTAAATTCATAAACATACTGTTGTTTCTTTTTTACTTATGTCTCTTTGTTTATGCAGAAAGAGACAACACATTATTGTCATTCTGGCCATAATTTTTTGACGTCATCAGAAAAACCTAGTTGTGCCAAATTGGCCATCTTAGTCCCTGTTATCAGTGCATGTCAGTGGTACATCAGCTGTCAAAGCATTGGTCAACAATATTTTGTTACGAAAATTTGTAGAATTCCTGTTGTTTTTGTGCGTGGTAAACAAAGAAATTATTGGTTAGTGAGAAGAACTATGCCCGGGTGCAGTGTTATTGGATGTAGCACTAAAAATATTACTAAACCGGCAGGTGTAACATTACATCGGTAAGTACTGTTATTTTTCATTAAAATATCTCTGTTTTTCAAACTATTCAAGTGTGGTTGCTGCAAATTGACTAAATACAATACTTTTCTAACTAATGCAGTGCTTATTTTCATTAATTTTAGTTGAAATACGTCTAAAACAATTTTCATTAAAAAATAGTGATGTACATGATTGTTCCCGTATCGATAATTTTATCGTACATAATAAATGCGTCAAAAGTAGAACAAAGAACTATACTAAATTCTGAATGATAAAGTGCATTAATTTGACATAATGACAAAATACAAAAAACATTAAGTACTCGTCAAAAATTTCATTTTATCGACAAAATTCCACCATCGTCAATACCTACGTAATGTAATAAATAATTAATACAATAGAGAATAATTTTTGTACAATATGAGATAAGGAATAATATTGTGGGAAATGCATTTTTGTCAAAATTGATTTTTTTATCAAATGCCGCTCGACGGATTCAAATGAAACAAACAAATGAAATATAACTTTAGGGTATTCTTAGAGTATTTATTAGAATGTGTCGAACTCTGCCGATAATTTTAATAATATTATAAATTTTCTTTTTAGTTTGTGCTTGAACCACGCAGAAGTTCTTGGCTGGAAATAATTAATGTGGGAAATATAGATACTAGAAGGAAACATATCTTTGTTTGTTAACTTTATTTTGAAGATTAATGTTTTAACCGAACAATAAATTAATAGTAAATCTACGTGATGGGGCCCTATCGCTACAAGCTCTATTGGTAAATCATAATGTAAACGATTCATTATGTGTTTTGTTATATTAGTTTTGGAAGCATTTTTTGAAGAGTGCACCTCTTCAAAAAATGCAATGATAATATAATGTATGATAATAAAATGTTAATTTTATTTAACATTTATATTAAGTTCATAACTAACCGGGTTCTTGTACCTATATGTTTCTGTTTTCCTCCGCTATCTATCACTATCATTGTAATGTACAAACATTTTCGTTCAGAGCTTAGTACAGTACCTATAGAATCTATAGAAAAATCTATGTTCAATTGGATCAAGTTAGTTAAATTATACTATTTATGTTGCAGCCTCTAGCCAGATATGTGCATGAAAATGAACTTGGAACCAGTTCTGGAGACTCTCGAAAGATGGTTTTGCAGATTACATTACAGGGAAACACTACGAAAAATACAAAGATATTGTATATTATAAATCTTGATTTTATGAATACTTTGATACAGTTTTATTTTTCAACCCTCAAAAATTACTTAACCTTAAGTATATAAATATTGACCAGTTGATGGAAAATCCTTTTCATGAATTTCGATACATAAGTATCGTAAAAGTTATGATGTGAATGTATAGGCACGATCGACTGGATTGACAGTGCACGCAGCAACTACTAAATATATTTCGCTAATACGTTGGTAATGTTTAGCAGCTAGATAAAAATTAAATCCAGATGAATCATAAAATAATGATATTTTTTGATAAGTCAATTAAAACCAATTCTAAAATATCGATATTTCTACAGTTTTAAAAGTTACATCCCTAGTTCTTTCCGCCATTACAGGTGACCAAGTGAGGTTTATGTAGGCACGATTTTTTCCTAGTTGTTTCTTATCCATACTCTTATCATATCAGTGATTACTATGCATGCATATCTGCTGATAGTGGGACGCCACAACCCTTACATTAATTGATTTTATGACCAACTTAATTTTAGTACGCATCCAGCAAATTGTTAAGAAATTAGTAGGTATGGTGTTTGACGCTAAAAAACCGTGACGTCACAATACACAATCGCGTAAATATTCAAAGAAAACTGTCGTTTTTAACAGTTCGAAAAACATATTGAATTTAACTACTGAGGCCTTAGTACGAGTTTGATTTACGTTTAAAGTATTCGAAACGAGTACACGTTCGGCACTCTGATTGGCCGGCGCCAATGAACCAACCAATCAGAACGGCGGACGCGTACTCGTTACGATTACTTTAACCTCTGGTATGCCGAGGACGTACATATACGCGAGACACAATGTGTTTTCTATTATGTCTCATATACTGGCAGATAAGGGGTTAAGTGTAAAACAAATTCGTACTAAGGCCTCTGGTTGGCAAGTACCATATTTTTCGGTTTTATATATTATGCCTTAAGAAAGTATATACCCTATCGTGTATTATTAAAACAATCGTCAAGCAACGTTGAATAGGAATCATAAATGTAGTGACATTTCTTAAATGTCAACTTGCAGACGGAATGAAGGTCACCTTCGCGTTATTTCGGTTAAGAGTGATCAAATACTTTTGTTTGTTACTGTTACCTATTTTGGAAATAACAACTGTCACGCTGCACCAGTTATTATTTCCTTAAATGGTAGCTAGAGACAAACTCATTTTATACACATACTTACCTTATTATTTGCCTACGGCATTAAGTCCGCCAATTTCACTATAATTATGTGCAATAAAGTTTTAATAAATAAATACTTTTGGTAGATAAAAAAAAAATTATATTACATGTCTGTTCATCTTGTCAGAGTCTTAAACACAGCTGTATCTTTCATAGCGACTGCCTTGTTGGCCGAGTGGTCGCAAGTGCAACCGCCGGGCAAAGGCTCTCGGGGTCGATTCCCGGTTCGGACAAAGTATTATTAGGTTTTGTAAAAAAAATCCCAGTAGTAGCACGGAGTCTGGAATTGTGTCCGGTATATGTCAATAGGCTCACCCTACTATTACATGAGCCTCATAACATGAATAGTGAAAAGAGGGTGTTACATTGTACAGTCGCTTTAATTGCCGTAATATACACCTCTAATTACCCCTTTAGGAATAAAAGGCGTGATGTTTTATGATGTTATGTTAAACCAACACAGTGTTCTTAAACATATTGCATTAATTCTTCTCCAGATACACAAGTCCTCGACTAGCTGCAGCGGCGGCGAATGGCGTGATTGCTCTGAAGGGGACTCCGAAGGAGTTCGGCATAGTGACCACTCCCATGTTGCACTTCTTCGTCAAGTGCCGCAATGATAATTCTTACGGAACTCCCACTGAAGAAGGTTAGTAAAATAAAAAGAACTATGGTGAATTCCTAAAACAACTGTGATTTATTTAACCTGGAAGCAAGAACAATACCTATTATTAGTTGTCGATTACTAGAAATTATCAGTATGTAGTGAAATTCTTACATACCTCTTTCGCTTCATCAACAGTCATCAGTCTTTTCATGCATGTTCGACGGTTAAGGGTACTTTTAATTTGGCCGTTTAATATAAATTTTACCAATCTGGTCACTAAATGTCCGTCTAGGGCGCCCTCTACCGACGGCCCCATTAATATCTGCTCTGTATACTTCGGTTTTTTTTCTTATAAACATCGATATTGCGGTACCTACAAATGCCTAACAAACATTTTTGAATAAGGTGTCTCATTTTTAATTACTTAGAAACCAGGATTCTAGCTCTAGCTCAAAGTAAAATAAAATGTAATTGCTAGAGATTATTACGAACTGATTTTTTTTATTTTCCATATTTTCAAATCCGTACCTTTAATATTGTATCTCTCCATTGTGCACCAACTCTCCTATTGATGTTTCAAAGTCAAAGTCAAAGACAAAGCGTTTATTTCAATTAAACCATAATTTGGTAGTTTTGAAACGTCAACAAATACAAAATAAAAAATAGTATGTGCGTCAGTCAAGCTAGGTGCTCATTCCAAAATGTAGATTCGAATGGAGAAGAACGAGCAAGAAACTCCATAACAAATCTATCCAACAATGAATGTTGCAACTAAACAATACACAATGGTGCCAGTTGGCAAGTGCCGATTGTTAGTTAAGATAGTGAGTGATAGTGAACACTCACAATAGTGCCACTATTTTGGTAACTCAATGAATGTAACTGTTTGAACTGGAGCCAACATAGTGGTAATGAACTGTTAACCTTAATATTTTTATATCAATATCTTTTTGTAGTAGTCTAAGTCAAAGCGTTTATTGCAAGTAAGTGTATATATAGTGTATGTTACAGAATTATTATAGTGCTTAATACTTAGCGGCTTATTACAGAAATTGCGACATTTTTAGATAAGTAGGTACACATTCATTGTTACTAACATTAGCAGTAAAACTGTAGGTAGAAGGTACAAAGGCATAAAGAAAAAGAAATTGTCAGGTAAAGGTCAAATTATACATAACATCACGCCTTTCATTCCCGAAGGGGGTAGGCAAAGGTGCACATTACGGCACTTAATGCCACTGTACAACGTAACACCCACTTTTCACTATTTATGTTATGAGTCCCATGTAATAGGGGGTGAGCCTATTGCCATATACCGGGCACAATTCCAGGCTCCGTGCTACCACTGAGAATCGTTAAAAACCCAGTAATACTTTGCACGACTCGGGAATCGAACTCGAGACCCCTCGCCCGGCAATCGCATTTGCGACCACTCTGCCAACGAGGCAGTAAGGTCAAATTATAGTAAAATAAAAATCAATTCAATAGGTATAGTAAGTATAATACTATATTGCATCTGCTATTGCAGGGACAATGTGGTGACCACTGAGTAAAATACATTTTACACCACTTTTATTCCTTCTGTGGGTGTTGTGACAGCCTAAGAACTAAGAGATTACATATTTTACAATGACTGAGTGTCAACAGTGACTCTTTTACATTGCGATCTCCAACTTGCTTGACAAGGATGGACATTATAGCAAACCCCTCCTTAGGGCTCGTACACAAAACTGCGATGCGATGCGAATTCGCAACGCAAAAAATTACGATGCAAATTGCTGCGATACAATTTCGTGCGACAAGGCGTCTCCCAGGGTTACCATACCTTCGACGACCGTCAACCGTACTAAACGTATTTAAATTGAAAACTAGGTCGTGACATGGATCGTAAAAAGAAGTGTGCACTTCTGTTATTGCTTAGGAGATACAGGAAAAATAATCATCGCAGTTTTGTGTACGAGCCATTAGGTATGGAAGGTCTTCAGTCCAGCATAGCCTGTTATGACCATGGCGTATTTTATACGCGCAGTCAACGCGCTGTAGAGGCGCATTTCACGGTCGCTCCTAGTGCTTGGGTTACAAGATTGATCAATTGATTCGAATCTTGTATGAAGCGCGCAGTAAACATGCGTTGCCTGGGCATATCATTAATGCAAACGAAATAATCAGCCTTTACGACGCTAAAGATGTTCATATAAAAATACGCTGTGTGCTTTGGTCTGTTGTTGAATATTTGAGACAGAAACCGACCTCGGTTCAATAACTTTACCCTCTTTGCTCTTTGAGAACAGTGACCTCCTTGGATGGTACTTTTCAAAACAAAATATCTTAAGTGTTTTACTTGGCACGGGGTTCATATTATCTGAAACCCACGGCAGTCAGCTTTATGAATATTAGGTCGACGACACGTATGATTTATTTGAACGCGTTTTAAAATAACTACGAAACGCTCTAGTTCATAATTATGACGAAAATGTTCGTTGTCAAATTGTATGGAAATCCGTTCGGCACTTTCTAAGTTTATTATCCAGAATCTAAATAGATAGACGAACTTTTGTACTAAACTAGCTTTAACCCGCGACTTTGTCCATCTATGTCCTCCGTTTTCCCAACTATGTATATAATGTAATAAGAAGAATGTGTGATTAGATAAAGAGTAAAGCAGTAACGAACAAACTAACTTTCGCACTTATAATATTAAATGCACGGTTGGCGCGGTGGCTGGGCAATTGCTGTCGCGCAACGTGTCGCGGGTTCGATTCCCGCCCGGAACAAAGAGTTGTATGATCCACAGATTGTTGTTCCACGTCTGGGTGTCATGTGTATGTGAACTTGTATGTTTGTAACGCACCCACGACACAGTAGAAAATCCTAGGGTGGGGCAACGTTTTAATAAAAATACAACTGGTATAGTGATTAATCCAAATTAATTGTTTTCAGGATATTATGAGAAAATCATAGGCGCATACAAGAACATGCGCAAGAGTCTACCGACAAGAGGGGACTACTCCCCCTGTTTGTACGTAGATGGCGCCAATGGTGTAGGGGGCAAGAAACTAAAGAATGTAAAGAAAAACTTCGACGAGGAGGAACTTGAACTACATCTGTTTAATTTGGGCGGGTCTGGAGAGAAGCTGAATTTGGGTGTAAGTAGTATATTATTGTTTTACTAACTGAGCCCGCGACTCGTCTGCATACAACTGATTCACAGCTCCTCCCCCGTAGTTGATAACATGATAATATGTAACTTATAGTACTACATTAATATATTTTTGATTTACTTACGTAACTGTTTGACGACGAACTCGACTAGTTTCAAGCCATGCTGTAGGTAGGTACCTACCTAGCCATTGTTGGATTTTAAAAGTAATCTTTGAAATTGGCTTAACCGAAATCTGCTATGGAATCATTATTTTTAGTTCTAGCATACTAAACCACATAGATAAGTAGATATAACCATATAAAATATTGCAATTGTACCTATACCATATCTTATACTATTATATAAAGCGGAAGAGTTTGTTTTTTTGTTTGTTTGTTTGAACGCGCTAATCTCCGTAACTACAAGTCTGATTTGAATAATTCTTTTTGTGTTGGATAGCTCATTTATCGAGGATGGCTATAGGCTAAAACCTCACGCTACGACCAATAGGAGCTGAGCAGAGCGTGTGAAACCGCGCAGAAGTAGCTAGTTACAATATACCTAATTGAAATTGTTTAGTGAGCGTCTCACGTTAAAGTTTGGCGAGTTTAGATTTATGGCTACACTTATGTAAAATTCCAATAAATAAATTTGTTTATTTCGATCTTAACAGTATTTTTATTAAGAACTACATTCTTGTATACTTTATAGGATCTCATAACAATGTCTCTCGTCCTCAGTGCGGTGCAGACCATGTGAAAGTGACGCAGACCCCCGCTAAGGGCATCCCGAGCACGCCGTACCAACGTATCGCATCACTCGACGGAGACGGCGACCGACTGGTGTATTATTATACTGATGACAAGTTAGTATGCCTTGTAAATATAACAACATAACATCACACCTTTTATCCCCAAAGGGGTTAGCAGAGGCGTACATTACGGCACTTAATGCCACTGTACAATGTAACACCCACTTTTTACTATTTATGTTATGAGTCCCATGTAATAGGGGGTGAGCCTATTGCCCGGGCACAATTCCAGACTCCGTACTACCACTGAGAATTTTTGTAAAAAAACCCAGTAATACTATGGCCGAACCGGGAATCGAACCCAAGACCCCTTAACCGGCAGTCGCGCTTGCGACCACTCGGCCAACGTAACAGTCTAAATTATAATTTATCCACACACTAGCTTTTTCACAAAAGGATAAAAAGTAGCCTATGTGACATATACCAATATTTACAGCGCCATCTATACCAATACTTTTGTTTTCCCTCGGGAATATCAATTTTTTCCGGGATAAAAAGTACTCTATTATTTAATCCAGACTTCTAACTTTACGTCTGCATAAATGCAAGCAATCGGTTTAGTAGTTACGGCGTGAAAGCGGAACAAACAAACAAACTCACTTTCCGATTTATAATATGAGTAAGGATAGTTCATTAATTGAGGTAAATTATTGCAACTAATGTAGATATCTCGTAAGTGGGCCTCCGTTCGTTCGTTTCGTTTTCATAAAAGCGTTATTTCACGTCGGTTTTCTGTGAGGCCGTGGTATCACTCCGGTCGAGCCGGCCCATTCGTGCTGAAGCATGACTCTCCCACATTTCTTACTAGGACTATATTCATTACGCATATATAAGTTTTTTTTAATGTTTCCAGGGACAAAATGCACCTATTAGACGGAGACCGTATAGCCACGCTGCTAGCTTCATACATCACGGAGTTGTTGCAGCAATGCCAGACTACTGAGATACAACTCGGCATAGTACAGACTGCGTACGCCAACGGAGCCTCCACTAAATATATCACTGATACTCTTGTAAGTATATCTTTTCTACTTGGTCTAATAATGATGTAACTAAATCAGAAGCGCGCGCGCCTTAAAGAGCCATCAGACCACCACGGATGGGGCCCAATAGGGCTGATGCCGATACGGAGCCGCGGAGGGCTTGCCGGGTTACCGGGGCTCCGGCTCGAAGTGTATGAGTAGGAACGGGGTGGTTTTTAGTCAGTAAGAGTCTGACACTCCCTCTAGTCTCAACTGGGTGGTAGAAGACATCGAATGATTTTCGTCCCTCAAAGAAAAAGACTACATCTGACTTTTTCTTTAGTTGTCACTCTGTCACTAAATGTGCGAACGAGTATGAGGGCGAAGGGCGAAAGCGTAATCGCACACAAATTAGAAAACCTAGCTTCTATTTCTTCTGATTCCTTTAAAGTGATAAGATACAAACATGTCAATCTTAACACGAACACTATTCTACACCATTTTATCAAAAACTTTTCGCCACCTTTAACACCAAAATGAATCAAAAATGATACAGCTGTTTATGCGTCATAAACAAATGAATGTGTTTTAGTACTGTTTTCGTCAATGAACAGTTTGTTTCGCTCGGTCAAAAGTCAAAGTCAAAGCATTTATTTCAATTAAACCATAGTTTGGTACTTTTGAAACGTCAACAAATACAAAATAAATAATAGTCTGTCAGTCAGTCCGTCAGTGAAGCTAGGTGAAGCTAGGTGCTCATTCCAAAACGTAGATTCGGTGACGGTCAATTGAGATTTCATATTATCTAATACTATTATACATATAGAGCGGAAGAGTTTGTTCTTTTGTTTGTTTGTTTGAACGCGCTAATCTCCGTAACTACAAGTCTGATTTGAATAATTCTTTTTGTGTTGGATAGTGCATTTATCGAGGATGGTTATAGGCTATAAAACATCACGCTACAACTAACAGGAGCTGAGCAGAGCGTGTGAAACCGCGCGGAAGTAGCTAGTCAGTAATATTTACTCAATATTTGCTTCCATTCCAGAAAATCCCAGTTCAATGCGTAAAGACCGGAGTGAAACACTTACACAGCGCAGCGCACAAGTACGACATCGGAGTTTACTTCGAGGCCAACGGACACGGCACTGTACTCTACAGCAGTAAGGCCAAGAATGTCATCAGCAGGATAGCCAAGGAGGGGTGAGCCTTTCCTTATAATTATTATCATCAACAACAGTTCATAACAATCACTGCTGGACTAAGAGCCTGCTTTACGTAAGAGGATGCCTGTATAGTCCCTTCCAGCAGGAATTAATAACAATCTAAAATCTTCAGGTAGATCGAGATCGATTTAGACATCTGTTCTCGATACGGGGATCCGCGGACCTTAACGGGTTACCGAGGCTCCGGCTCAAAGTGCAGGAGTAGGAACGGGGTGGTTTTTAGTCAGTAAGATTCTGACCCTCCCGCCTCACCCAGGCGGGAGAAGACATTCGATGATTTTCCCCCATAAAAAAAATTGAATTAGTTCTTTTGAAAACCCTCCAAAAACCTGGAAAGACTCACTGTCGATTTCAATATATTTCAGATCTTAATTTTAAACCTCTGGATTTTTGTCAGAAATTCTATAGAAGTGATATAAGAGGATGACTTGTAGAGAATGCTATTAGCATTAAGTCTTCCTTATGCAAGTGTATATATAAAACTTGAATAAATAAATATACCTCTAAATAATTGATCTCAATCTAATGATTTTCAATTGAGATCAGCTATTGAAATCAGCTATTAGAGACCTTGAATTAAATCGATACTGGCCGAAATCCACTGATTTCTGATTCGGATCCGTTAGTCCGTTCTTACTACCCGAAGTAAGAAATAGGGTTTAAACAAATATGTATATCTATTTTAAAACTATGCCCTTAAATTCCAGAGACCCAGAACCACGCGAAGCAGCAAAATTACTAAACCAATTCATAGAGATGACGAACGAAACAGTGGGCGATGCGATATCGGACCTACTACTGGTGGAGACTGTACTCTGTGCGCGAGGCATCTCCGCCGTGCAGTGGATGCAGATATACAGGGACCTGCCTTGTAGGCAACTCAAAGTTACTGTCGCGGTAAGTTGCTATTAATATTTGATTTTTTTTTTTTTTTTTTTATTTATTTTTTT